TCAGTTTCTTGAAGCAACCCGAGGAGAACAGTAGCTGATAAGGAAGCTGATGATCTTTTCAACATCTCGATACTTTTTAGCCCATGACAAGACGTTTCAGCTAGACGTGGCGAGAACAGTGCGTGGGCCTAAGGATCTGAAAGACCAGCGCAATGCGAGGTTAAAAAACCTTGCTCCTCTTGTGACAGGCTTGTATCAAAGTGAAGATACTTGGCGGACAATGGCGATGGCGTTGCCCGGGCCTGAATCCAAGTCTCCCGAACAGAGTACCGATAATACTCTTTGCGTTCTTCTTTCCTTTGCTCAAGATGCTTGGCGGATAAGGGCGATGGCGCTGCCCGGGCTACAGGACGAGCTGTTGGAGACTGACGAGAATTGGGAGGATGAAGAGGATAAGAAGACGACGATGCCAATGATTAAGTTGTCCTAAGCGTAAGTAAAGCGGCGGTAGCTAACTCTATCGCACAGGCCACTCCCCGCGGCATGGCGGCCAAGACTACAAACAAGGAACTGTTCCTGATGCGCATTGCTTCCCCCCCGCGCGCCAGAGTTAACAGGTGAGGTATTGACCCAAAAGGTTCCCAAGGAGTGGAACGCCGCGGCGGTAGCCAGGGAAGAACGTTATTACAGCCTTTTTTACTGCTGCCGAATTCAGGCCCTGGTAGTTTTTGGCCTCACATAGTAGGAATTATGAGGAGATCCAAATTGATAATTCTGGATGAATTACGCATTAGCTGAAAGACCGAGTGTTTTTTCTTTCTTTTCCAAGTGCATGCGCACCAGGCTGTCGAGCCGTTCGAGCCTCGGGCGACCTGATGCCAACCTCATCTCCTCCTTCCGCCTCTCCCAACTCCTCCACCGCAAGCACACACTCCTCAGCCCTCATCCTCTCCTCCGCCTCCCAAGCCAACAGCCCCATTAACAAGCTCACAATTCCCACGCCCGGAATCAGCTCCCCCAGCCTGCACGCATGCTTAAAGCACCTCCTCGGATAGACCTCCAGATCCATCACATCGACGCACGCCCTTCCACGGCAAGTGGTGATGACTAACCAATGTCACTGTCACCAATAATGGCCTCACGAGTCAGAACCCTTTCCAGTTTACACGGCGGCCAAAATACATAATCGTACCGATCCCAATGATGGATGACCTTGGTCACGCCCCGACCAATTGTCTCTTCACTTCCTTGACCTCCCCGTCGACATCCTCGCTCTCATCCTGGCCCCGCTCCTCATCCAGGAAGGCCCCGTTCCCTTGTGTCCATGCGGCTCAACAGGGACATTCGGGCTGGAGATTTGTTTTTAAAAGACAGTCTCTGGGAATCCCAACAAGCATCTTACGCACATGTTGGCAAATATACAAGGAAGTAATCGGCGTATTGTACGGCGGCAATAAGCCCGACAACTTACGACAAGGAAGCAATCGGCGTATTGCACGGCGGCAACAAGTTTATCTACGTATTACAAGATCATAAGCATCTTGCGTACATGTTGGAAAATATACAAGGAAGTAATCGGCGTATTATACGGTGGCAACAAGTTCATCTATATATTGCGAGATTATAAGCATCTTGCGCACATATTGACAAATATTCGGAATCCCAATAAGCATCTTGCGCACATGTCGACAAATATATTATGAAGTAATCGTTGTATTGTACAGCAACAATAAGTTCCTGTACATATTATAAGATTATATTATACAGCGATAATAAGATCCTGTATATATTACGAGATTATATTATACAGTAACAATAAGATCATCTACGTATTACAAGATTATACGGAGTATTATACAGTAATAATAAGATCCTCTACGTATTATAAGATTATACGGAGTATTATACAGCAACAATAAGTTCTTATACGTATTACAAGATTATATTATACAGCAATAATAAGTTCCTGTACGTATTGTGTGACAAGGGCTCGGAAAGAGGGCTTGGAGCAATAGCTCAATTCAACTAATAACAGTCTTTGGTATCAAAGGTCCTTGGTTTTCCTCAAGGCCTTGAGGGACCAAAGCCGTCTATTTATACAAGAAGTCGGTGAGGGACTTTGCCCTAGGTCTCGTGACCGTAGCCCTTGTGTAACCTTCGATTTCCGTGTAACAATGGATGAGTCGGCCCCGACGAAGTTCAAGGCGTCGAGGCACCAGAACAGTATGGACTGCAGCGACGAAGACTACGACACAGAAGACAAAGACTACGACATAGAAGACAAAAACGATCCTGACTGGCAGGAGGAATAAATAGCCAAAACAGTAACGAAGACTACGACACGGAAGATGAAAACGATCCTGACTGGCGGGAGGAATAAATAGCCAAAATAGACTACGGCGATAAAGTTTAAGGCGTCGAGGCGTCGAGGCATCGAGGCGTCAAGGCACCGGAACAGTATAAACTGCAGCAATAAAGACTACGACATAGAAGATGAAAAGGATCCTAACTAGTAGGAGATAAATAGCGAAAATAGACTGCAGAGACGAAGTTCGAGGCGTCGAGGCGTTGAGGCACCGGAACAGTATAACTACAGCGATAAAGACTACAACATAGAAGATGAAAAGGATCCTGACTAGTAGGAGATAAATAGCGAAAATGGACTGCAGAGACGAAGTTTGAGGCGTCGAGGCGTTAAGGCACCAGAATAGTATAAACTGGTGCAGAGACGAAGTTCAAGGCGTTGAGGCATTAAGGCACCGGAACAGTATAAACTGCAGCAATAAAAACTACGACATAGAAGATGAAAAGGATCCTAACTAGTAGGAGATAAATAGCGAAAATAGACTGCAGAGACGAAGTTCGAGGCGTCGAGGCGTTGAGGCACCGGAACAGTATAACTACAGCGATAAAGACTACAACATAGAAGATGAAAAGGATCCTGACTAGTAGGAGATAAATAGCGAAAATAGACTGCAGAGACGAAGTTCGAGGCGTCGAGGCGTTGAGGCACCGGAACAGTATAAACTGCAGCGATAAAGACTACGACACAGAAGATGGAGGACCCTAACTAGTAAGAGATAAATAGCGAAAATGGACTGCAGAGACGAAGTTTGAGGCGTCGAGGCGTTAAGGCACCAGAATAGTATAAACTGCAGCAACAAAGACTACGACGCAGAAGATAAAAACGATCCTGACTAGCAGGAGGAGATAAATAGCCAAAATAGACTACAGCAACAAAGTTCGAGGCGTCGAGGCACCGGAACAGTACAGCGGGGAGCAGCGACAAGGACAGCGGCGGCGACAGCGGCATCAGCATCAACCCTGTACCAATCCTGCTCATCCACCCAGCCATCTACGCCATTGACACACCGCTCTTCTACGAAGGCAATAAATTTGTTCTGGATCTCAGACTGAAGCACGGCCTACATGCAAGGTCATACTTGGATGAGCAAGCCGAGGAGGATGCGCTCGACAGGAGAGAGGTGTTCAACTACGACGACGTGGTCATTCATCGGAGGCGAGAGGCACTCGCCCTGGAGGGGTCACTACGAAGGATACGGTCCCTGGAGATTAAGATTTTGAAGCTGAGGGGATGGATCGACGCAAGGATCGTGCCGTTGATGTGGGACATGATTGTCTGCGGCAACCTGGCCGAGCTGACTGTCGAGATCTACAGCTACCTTTTCTCTCCTTAACAGACACAGAAAAGTCTCTCTTTATTAGC